ACTAAAAGTAGAAGTACTCAGACTTTGTTCTTGAGTAAAAGTAGAAGTACTCAGATCTTGTACTTGAGTAAAAGTAGAAGTACTCAGATCTTGTTCTTGAGTAAAAGTAGAAGTACTCAGGTCTTGTACTTGAGTAAAAGTAGAAGTACTCAGGACTTGTTATTGAGTAAAAGTAGAAGTACTCAGATCTCACATACATACATACTACATACATACATACTACATACATACATACATACATGCATACATACAAACATACATACTACATACATACATACATATATACTACATACATACATACATACTACATACATACATACACATACATAATACATACATGCATACATACAACATACATACTACATACATACATACTACATACATACATACATACTACATACATACATACTACATACATACATACATACATGCATACATACAACATACATACATACATACATACTACATACATACATACATACATACATACATACATACATACTACATACATACATACATACATACATACATACATACTACATACATACATACATATATACTACATACATACATACATACTACATACATACATACTACATACATACATACATACATACATACTACATACATACATACATACATACATACATACATACATACATACATACATACATACATACATACATACATACATACATACATACATACATACATACATACATACATACTACATACATACATACATACTACATACATACATACTACATACATACATACATACTACATACATACATACTACATACATACATACATACATACATACATACATACTACATACATACATAGATACTACATACATACATACATACTACATACATACATACATACATTCATACATACATACATACATACATACATACATACATACATACATACATACATACATACATACATACATACATACATACATACATACATACATACATACATACATACATACTACATACATACATACATACATACATACATACATACATACATACATACTAGACTAGTTACTGCACATATAACATACATCTCCATGGGGACAATAACCCCCTTTTACTTCCTTTACCCTCCTGAGAGGTAAACCCTTAACACATGTCTCTGTTAAACACAGACACACCATTTAACAGAGTAAAAGGCAATCAGAGTATAAGACTATATGTTTTAAATGATTATATATTTGACTCAGGTTTGTGTTTACAGGCAGCAGCGACCCGTATGTGAAGTTCAAGCTCTCTGGGAAGGAGGTGTTTCGAAGCAAAACCATCCACAAGAACCTGAACCCGGTGTGGGACGAGAACACCACGATAATCCTGGACTGCCTGAGCGACCCTCTGTATGTCAAGGTAAATAGATCACACGTTGTTCTCATACATTTGGACTTTTTCCAAAAATCCACTGATGTTCACATGTTTTGATATTCGTATAATCTTTATAAATTATTTTACATATTTTTGGGAGTTTTTTTCATTTTTCTTTTTTAGGTTATTTTCAAACTATTCACATATATATTTTGGATATTTTCACAATGTAATTAAATTAGAATTAGTTTCTTTAATCTGAAGCATTGCATGTTTTTCCATACATTTCTAACACATTTAGGGGAATTCTTTTGGACATTTTCTGCATCAATTATCTTAAATGTTCACCTATTTTACATTTATTTATCACATTTATTTTAGAAAAGTATTCAAACATCTAACACACATGTTTCAAATATTTTTTTATGACATTTTTCTGCTTCTTTTACATTTTTTCTGAATTCTTTAAATATATTTTTTTATCCATTTTCCAGATAATTGTTTCACATATTGCAATTTTTTTGGATAATATTTTCCTACATTTAAGCATTTTCTGATATTTTTAAGAGTTTTTTAACATACTTTTTGTTCTTATTCATTACATTTGTCTACATGTTACTGCTGTAGATATTTGACCTCCTATACAAACTGTTGGCCAGTTCAATCTGTAGCTTTGCATAATATCCAATAAGATCTTCATATGTTTCTATCTCTAAAAAGTCTCAAACTTATCACGAGTTTGAGACTTTGTGACGAGGCATTTTCCAGTGGATCCAAGAGGCTTTTTTAAATACTATTTATTTTGTTCTGAACACTTAAAGGAGCACTTCATCCTTCCCCTGACACTTTGAATGTTTCCCTGTGCATTATTGATGAGCATTGAGTGGAGGTGTGTGTGTGTGTGTGTGTGTGTGTGTGTGTGTGTGTGTGTGTGTGTGTGTGTGTGTGTGTGTGTGTGTGTGTGTGTGTGTGTGTGTGTGTGTGTGTGTGTGTGTGTGTGTGTGTGTGTGTGTGTGTCCTCTGCAGGTGTTCGACTACGACTTCGGACTCCAGGACGACTTCATGGGTTCTGCTTATCTTTACATGGAGTCTCTGGAGCAGCAGAGGTGAATCATGTTGGTGTATCTACTACAAACAAAACGAAAACAATACGTGTGATCCACAGTTAATGCTCCTTGATAGGCATCGATTAAGTGTCTATGTCTAGGGCCTTTATTGTGATAGGGTGTTGTGACCTGGAAGACAACACACGTCAATGGATTTGATTTCTCTGGAGCTTTAGTTGAATTGATGGTCTTCCTTAGACACACGGACGTCTCCTGAGACAGAGGTAACCCATTAACATGATGCAGTGTCCATTCTCACTGATCACAGCATTATTGATTTTACACCGAGCCTTCTTCATCAGCTCCTCTGTAAAGCATGTCTGGACATTGATCATTGAACAGACCCTCCATTCGACCTCCTTATTCTGCTTTATTTACTTTTACTTTTATGAAGCTGTGGTGTGTATTACTTTATCAGCCCTCAGGCTCCACTCCTCGTCGGCCTCGTCTTCCTCCCAGCTCTCATTACAGCAGGTTACTGAAAACATGACAGAAAACCTGACGTACACACACACTCCTGCTGTTTGCTCAATGGCCTTCTTTATTTAGAGACAACTTCTCTTAACAAGAGAGACAATTCTCAATAACACACAATACTTTACAACACCCCGCAGTGTCTGACCAGAATTGATTAGCATTCGGTGATGAATGAAAACCCTAGTTTGGACCGACATGAATGTGATGTAAAAAATACAACTAGTAACTGCTAGCTCCGCGACCCGACCACGGATAAGCGGGAGAAGATGGATGGATGGATATCTATTTATATTAAGTGATACCTTATATCGAACTAACCAACCAATTCACTCACTAACTCAATTACAAACCAACCAACTGTCATACTTACATACCAACTAACCCTATCAACTAACCAACCAACTATCTAAATTCAACCAACCACCCAACTAACCAACTAACCAACTAACTAACCAACCAACTAGCTTACTTACATACCAACTAACCAACCAACTATCTAAATTAAACACCCAACTAACGAACTAACTCACTAGCTTACTAGCTTACTTACATACCAACTAACCAACCAACTATCTAAATTAAGCTAACCAACCAACTAATTCACTAACTGACTGACAAAGTAACTGATTAACTAACTAACTTACTAACCAGCCAACTATCTTAATTACATACCAACTAACCTGTTAACTTACTTAATTCAACCAACTGACCAATAAACCAACCAACCTAACTAACTAACTAACTAACTTACAAACCAACAAACTATCTTACTAACATACCGACTAACTAACCAACCAACTATCTAAATTCAACCAACCAACCAACTTACATACCAACTAACCAACTAACTAATAACTAACTAACTAATAACTAATTAACTAACTAACTAACTAACTAATAACTAACTAACTAACTATTAACTAACTTACAAACTCACAAACTAAATACCTTACTAACTAACTAACTAACTAACTAGTTGGATCAGCTATGGTTGTTTTCTGTCTCTGATGGGGAATGTTTACAACAACTAGGACATATGATTTGAATGTATTTTGTTTACGACTCTCTTCTCTTCCTAGATCTCTTCCTGATATCTCCTGCGATTTCCCCTCTCTGTGTTTCAGGTGTATTCCCGTGACGCTGGTTCTGAAGGACCCTCAGCACCCGGACCAGGATCTGGGTTCTCTGGACCTGTCCGTCACCCTGACCCCCAAAGACACTCCTGTGGAGGAGAGGAGGGACTCCACTTCCACCGTACGTACACCGATCATCACTCTGGATTCATGTGGTCACTTTATTTAGGGTAACGTCAAGGGACTATCTTAAATTCAAATGTTTTTATTGTCATATGCACATAAGCTACAGTGTAGAAATGACCTGAGCTCCTCCAACAATGCAACATATAGAATACAATACTAAAATACTAAATAAAAAGTAGTGCAAAAAGTCTATATACATGTCAATACAATACTACGTTAAGTTATATCGAAGATAAGGGATGACTGCAGGAAGTAGTAATTGAGATCTGTCCAAAATGTATTTACTTTTTGAGTTCTGAGACACAAGTATGAGATTAATCTCAGAAATCAAAAAATACAAAAAAAGAAATCTGATATTTTCTAACTTTTTCGCAAACAAGTCAGAATATCTTTTTTTTTGTGAAACCTGAATTTTAATCAGAACAACAAAAGGTTCACAAGTGACCCTAATCCTCTTCCGTAGGTTAATGATAGAGCACATGTAAATATCAAAGGATTCAAGCCACGCAGACGTTTTAACTAAACCAAATGTGGGACTTAAATCTCAGACAATACCTGATTTATTTCTGAGACTTAATTCCTGAGAAATTAATGATTTTACCTTTTCAATCTCAGATATTTATTCAAGTTATTTTCAGCATTTTTACTCGTAAATGTTCCACTTTACTGTCAGTGCTGGCCAAGTAGTTTTCTCTTCAAATGACAAATCTTAACTTAGAAATACTGATTGTTTTTTAAGTACAATGGCCCTAAGACTTCATATCAAACTTGAGTGATCACACAGTAAATAGGAGGGTAAAGCAGAATAAAAATACATTTCTACTAAATAAAATATTTACTTTTTTGTCAAACTCACCTGTACATTTAGCTGTTTTCCTTTTGAAACATTTCCCTTATAAATAACTTAGTAAGTAAGTGAAAGATGTGTGGTGTTTTTCATTTAACTGCAACATGTAATACGGAGAATCAAAGGTGGACATTACTCTGCTTTAGGGAATCACTTCACTAACCAATGAATCCACTAATCCCTCCAACACTGCTGGATTACAAAATCACTATTAAGAGGGAAAGACAGCTCAGCACAATCTGTGTCATCACACACACACACACACACACACACACACACACACACACACTCACACACACGCGTATAAACACAGGATTTTTGTTTCACTTTCTTCAGTATTTTCTCTCTTTGTGGTGCCTTTGTGTTCCTGCAGCTGAGAAAGGTTCAGACGTACCGCTGGAAGCCGTATGTGAATAAAGTGAGTGTAGTGGAGATTAGGCTCTTACAGCTTCACCCTGAATCACCCCTTTAACCTCAAATAGATAACGGGAACCACGGTGCATTCGAGGGCGCGGGACGGCCATCTTTGAAGGATAACGTCTTTAGTAACGTCAGCAAACGTCAATATCTATCGGCTTTTACAGGTCAGCTTTTTTGCGTCCGAAACAGTACGGGAACTTAATTGAAGCATTAAAAAAAGTCATGTTTCTTCGCTCGCTGTAAAAAAGTCAACAAGTTGCGTTTGCTGGTATCCTTCAAAGATGGCCGACTTCCTGTAGTTTTGTAGTTCTTGTAGTTTTCCTTGTAGTTTCGCTTGTAGAAATATAGAAATGTTTCCCTCACCATTGATATAAAAAGGCACTGAAAGGGACTACAGACATGGGTTAAGACTTTATTTCAAAGCCGCTTTGAATGCATCATTCATAAATGAGTGGAATTAGTGTTCAAATAGAGAGATATTTCCATTGGAGTTTGGAGAGACCAACAATGAACAACTAAATTATTGTAAGTCGCTTTGGATAAAAGCATCAGCTAAATGCAATGTAATGTAAAGAAAGTGTACAACATGCAGAGATAATAATAAAAAAATATGAGTTGAATGACTTCCAAGTAGCCAGAAATATCCAATAATGCATAATTACCTTCTACAAATTGCATGAATGTAATATTTACAATGTAAAATATACTTTAATTGTCCAAAGCAGTAAGACATAAAACACAGCCTGTCTGGTGCATGTTTTAGTCAGTGTAAATGAATCATCAGGCAGTGACAGCCTGCTGCAGAGAGAGAGAAACCACAATAAAAGAGAGAAGAAGAAGAATAATGCATATTCAGCACATCCTCCACGGCTTCAATCTATTTTCAGATGCTTTATTCATGGAGATGTATTAAAGTTGCAGTACACCCCTCTTCTGTTTTAGCTGCTTGTAGTTAGCAATAATAATCCTGTAGCCCCCCCCCAGTGGTGAACACATGTATGTGTTTTAATTTCTGTGATAATGTGAATAATGTTCTAATAATTATCATTCACAAATTTGTAATATCTGTCAAAAATATCCCAATTAGTTATTTTGTCCTAGTCGTAGTTATTAGCAGAGGTGGGAGAAATACTCAGATCTTGTTCTTGAGTAAAAGTAGAAGTACTCAGATCTTGTTCTTGAGTAAAAGTAGAAGTACTCAGATCTTGTACTTGAGTAAAAGTAGAAGTACTCAGATCTTGTTCTTGAGTAAAAGTAGAAGTACTCATGTACTTGAGTAAAAGTAGAAGTACTCAGATCTTGTACTTGAGTAAAAGTAGAAGTACCAGAGTGTAGGAATACTCTGTTACAGTAAAAGTCCTGCATTCAAAATGTTCCTCAAGTCAAAGTAGAAAAGTATTCTCATCTATTAAATGTATGTAGTAGTGTTACTTAACAGTGGTGTAAAGTAACTCCACTGCATACTGTATGTTAAATAACTTTCAACACAGAAGCTGCAGTGTTTGTTCTCCCCTTTTAAACTGTAGTGTGTAGTGAGCTTAGTGAAGGTTATTCTGTGTCTCGATTTAAAGACATGGCCTCCAAAAATAAAGACAGCATAACATTAAATACAAAAATAATCTTTTATTCTAGAAGGGACAGTCACTGTGTAGCAAAAATACATTTACAATGTGCTCCAAATATTAACTTAGGCAATGTCATACACACACATGAGGACTCATACATCTTAATATTAATTCAGTAACATACAATAATAGTTGATATTGTCTTATATTAAAAGACACTCACAATGTGAGTTGAAAAAAAAGCATCAGCCTCTCATTCTTTTATTTTGTTCCGTTTGACATGTTCCAACATTGAAACCATTTGCAGATGGTGACGTCTTGAAAAGTGCAAATTGCTTCTTTGTGAAGGGCATGTTAGGATCAATACAGAACTTCTTCAGACATACAGTTGTGATTCTGTAAGAAAACAATGCCATATTGTTAGAAACACAAGAAAACAAAATGTCATTCATTTTAAGCCACTTTCACACCAAGTACTTTGCGGTACTTAGTTCCCGGTATTTACTCCCGCCGAACTCTTTAGTCCCTGGAACTATCTAGATCGAGCTCTTACCGGAATAAGTCCCTGAGGGAGGATTAGGCAAATGAAGCCGCTGACGTCACTTCTTCTTCTTCTTCTGCTTTGGGTTTACTGGCAGGCCGCAAACCACTTCACGGCGTATACTGCCACCCGGAGTCCCCGGCCGGAGGTCCCCGGAGTTGGGGGCTTGCTTCAGTAGAAGCTGCTGGGACTCCCAGCAGCTTCTACTGAA